GTTTCACAAGCAGCCACAACTGAAACAAAAGATCAAGAACAGAGAGTAAACATGAAAATCTATGCTGTTACATTTATATTGGAAGTTATAATGGAATGTGATAGTGTGTAAGAGTTTATATATGCAGTCATACTATTGAGGAGACACAGCACATGGAGAGGTTATTATTAGAGATAGGGGATAGGTGGGATCAGAGGAGGAGGACCCACTCTGCTTCTTAATAATGAAACAAACCATCTGTTAATAGCTGAAGGTGACATTCACTTATGGAAAATACAGCAGAAATAAATTTTTACCCATCAACTTCATGCTTCCTATACTTGCTCAGTATACATATATGTACCAAGAAACATGTTGTATAAGGAAATGTAATAAAGCATTTCATGAATGAATAACTAAACAGTAGGCTACTTCATGATATCACAATTTCTTGCATATAGTCTAACAAAGAGATAATAAAAAGGTAATGGTTTCTATATTTCAGGACATTTTTGGCTTTTAGAGGAATGTCTGCACATGGATTTCCAGAAAATTCTGACATTCGTGATCGGCCACATATTGAGACGATCCCCCACATTTTGATTGGCTCTAGTTTTCAGAAGTCAAATCACTGCAGGACAGATGCTTTTTCTAACACCTGGCTTTTATACAATGGCTGTGAAGAAACAAGGGAAATACAGCTACAACAAAGACTGGGGAACTATAACTGGTTAAGCCCTAACCCTAAGACCATAAGAACTGTGGAAACTTTAGCTTCCTTTATTCTTACTGTATAGTGTGGGAGTTGGAAACGTTGCATTCAAATAAATGTGTTAAGTCCTTCACATAAAGGCCTAACCTGCATAGCCTATTGTGTGCTACTGAATCAACCAGAGGGACAAGCTTACAGATGTTACAAGCTAAGAACAGACTAGAAATCTTGTTTTTTTAACCTATTAGACATTATATAAATCATTTAGACCACCTCTCAGCATTGATAAAGGGTTCCACATTGTGTCTAAGTACAGCCTCACAGAGCAGCTGTAGACATTCAGTTACATTACAATATTGTTTTGAGGGTTATTGGGCTTTAGGATCAGTACTGCATTACTGCCTACACACTAAACCTCAATCATACATACCAAAACCTTATAGCTTCATGTCAAATGTAAACAAAAACTCTTACTATACTAATAAGTATATTAATAGCTACTTATGGTAAACTTCATAGTTTAAAGCCACCCTCCCACTCCGCCACTGCTGGTGAGAGACTGATATCCCCATTTTAGTCACACTTCTGATTGATCAGCCAGGCATGTTTAGTATATCTGGTTAGTTTAAATTCCTGGCTAAAGATATGTAGCTTTTAATAATACTGTTGGCCTTCTTTTCTTCCTAGCTGACATCTGACGAGAGAAAAGGAAAAAGAGAGAGTCCAACCACCTATGTAGTATTAGTATGGCTAATAACAAAAACAAAGACAGGAGAAGGGCATCCACAGGAGTACAACCATTGATCTCTGTACATAGACACACTGTACACACATACAGAACAAATATTTATTTTACAGTTGCAGTGTTTATAGTTCTCACTGTTTCACATGTTTTTAGATTTGTCTGACTGCAAGCCTGCATTTCTCAATTTTACATTAAGTTATGTTTTTTAATCTATTAATGTACATCTTTGTTGTTTTTATTTCACACTTGCTTTGGCAATATATGTTTCCCATGCCAATAAAGTCCCTTTGAACTGAATTGAATTGAGAGAGAGGTAACCTGAGACTTACTGTACTGTGTTACCATGTGCACATGGGGTCCCTCATGGAGTCAGGTGACCCTCTGACCTCCCACAACAGAAAGGAGGTGAATTAATAATGAGCAACTGTGTGTCAGTATATACCGACATAGTATTAAAATAACCCTGCATCAAAAGGTCATTTGATTTATTTGGATATTATCTGTCAATTACATTACACTAATTTTCAGTCTCGAATTCGAGCAATACATAACAGGATTATTATAATTTAATCATGAGACACACACTTTTCCCAAACCAAATTATGGGTTTCATGTTCACTGTGATGTATATCTGATCCTGAAACTGTATTGTGTTTTATGTATTATTGATGGTATTCATGTGTTCCACATATAGTTTTTAAGTCAACTTTCTTTTTAGTCGTGTTTTCTCTCTTTTGTCTATTGTGTGTGCATCTGTTGACATGGTCGGGAAGCTGCTGCATGCTGTTGTCCTTACAGCGATTAAAAAAAGTTGTGTTGATGATTTAATTTCATACTGTGCAAGAAGGCATTGCGCCAAAAATGAGGTAGAAAAGCTTCTTTGGGATCACAAGTTGCAGCTCAGGCTCCAAAAACGGTGCTATGACATGTACAGAACATGTAAATATCTATCCATCATAGTAAACATAAACAATGTTGACAGTGTGCAGACAGCAGCAAGATGGTCATGCCGTGTCATTTTGGGGGGAGCGGCTGCCAAACACTGAACCGCAGCGTATACGTTAAACTCTTAAAGTGTACTTTAAATGCAGTAACTCCCATTTTATCTTTATTGAGCTTTCAAGCGATGCATAGCGAGCCATGGTGAATCCTGCTCTCCATCCATCACTCAGAGCATCCGCAGGCTACCTGGTTTTCTTCTGCCTCCTCCTTGTGTCCTTCCAGTATCCTGCAATGGTGGCGGCAGAGAGCTGCAGAAAGGACTTTCTCTCTCTCTCTCTATCTCTCTCCTCCAGGGCTACATCCCCTTATCTGGGCGGAGAGAGAGAGAGAGAGAGGGGGAGAGACCATACTGCCTCTCTTGTTTCTCACCCACAAGTCCTCGGAGCAGGAACCGGCTAGTTAAAGTCATAGACAGCCATCCTGAAGAGAGGAGGGAGGATTTATCAGAACAAAGCGGAATCATCTGCACATTTTGCTACACACACACTGGAAAACGGGATTATATTTGACATTCTTGTTTGCTATTTTTGGACTGTTTCCTGCTTCTTGCACTACAGGAGCTCTCATTGTGGTGGGAGTGAGGGTCCCCTCCTTTTGTGTTGCTCTGCAGTTGTTTATTCACACCAACTTCTGCCCCCTGTTTCCCCAAAATAGGAGGTTTCATTTCTGTTTTTCTTGTTTCGGCCTAAACGGAATGAATGACAAAAACAAAGGAGGTTGATGTCCATAACTCTCCGACTCACCTCTTCTTCGCCTCGCCCAAGGAACGGAGACTCCATCTCCGACAGAAGATGGAAAGCGGAGGCGGGACGGAGGGCTCGGACAGCGGGCAGCAGCAGCACAACCCCCGGACTGAAAACGCGGAGCTCCCGGCGACGCTGCCCGCTCAGCCTCCCGGCGAGAAGAAGAAGATAAACCGGGCTCCGTCCCCGGCCAGACCGAAGGATGTACCCGGATGGTCGCTCACGAAGATCCGCGGAGGGATTGGGACCCCTACCCTGAGCGTCAAACCGGGAGCCATCCACCTGGGCAGCCGGATTTCCAGGCGCAGCCCGGTGGGGAGTCTGGCCGGGAAGGACGGTAAAGCAGAGAGGAGCGGTGGAGGCAAACCGGCGGGCAAGTCCTTCTCCACCGGAGGGTTGTCCAAGACCTCGGCGGCCAAAGCGGGCAAAAGCACCGGAGGGCGGAGGAAGGTGTCGGACGCCAGCATCGGATCCGACGATTTATCCAAGGACTCAGGCTGCGCCACAGGGAAGCTCTCCCCGACCGACAGCAGCTCCGAGCTATCGGACTGCGCCTCTGAGGAAAACAAGCTCTCCACGGACGCCGTGAGCAGCGACGCCGAATCGAGGAGCAGCCGGGGCGGCGGGCCGGACGGAGACAAGCCGCCCAGGGATGGCGCATTGGCGGACAGAGCTAGCCAACAAGCTGCCGCCAAGACCAGCTGCTCCTCCGCAGAGAGGGACTATAAGGACCGGCTCTCCCTGGCCGTGGAGACCGGGGAAGGGAGCATATCCCCCGGCGATGAGCGCTCGGTCACCTCGTTTGACAGCAGGGTGCCTGCCAGCACATCCCTGGCTTTCTCAGACCTCACAGAGGAGTTTATGGACGGCATGCATGAGGAGTTTGTCCGGGAAATAGAAGAGCTGAGATCCGAGAATGATTACCTCAAAGTAAGTCCAGTAGCCTATAGGTTCTCTATCAACTATGTGGATTTAAATGTCTGGGAAATAGCTTGTGTTAGTTCTTCCCAAGCTGTTTTGGTTTGTTAGACAGACAGAGCAGGTTCTGCATCAGGGATCCCATGGGAAATGTTTTTAATTTAAAGACAGGCAGCATACACAAGATATATTTAATAATTACTGCCATGTCATTTTGCTTTAGACCAAGATGCATCAACAAATCCTCCCGCTGTCTGTTTTTATTATAGTCTGTTGGGTTTGTTTACCAGTTCACTCTGACATCCCTGTGTGTAGAGATGCCTCTGGATGCCATCCAAGGCTACTCACTACAAGGATGATGATGTTATGAATAGAGTCTGCAGTCTCAGTAGCACATGAGCAAAACATGCATCCTTGTTGCCTCAGGTTGACATGTTTCATATGGAATATCTGCTGGTGCCATGTAGAGGAGAGTTAGATGTAATGTGGATGTAGCATTTTGGATCTTGGCTGTGTTGTCAGCTGTGTTTCCTCTAGCTTGCATGATGGAGGTGAGGATGCAGTTGTACTCAACAGAAGCCAATGGATGTCAGTCTCTAAAGCCTGCACTGAAATGCTGATAATTTACCAAGGTGTTTGATTAGCAGTGGTTCAACAGTGTGGTCAAACACTCAACATGGACAAAATCGGACCAGTGGCAACATCGGTACCAAAATTCTGTGGCACAAACGTCGTTACTTAAACCAGACTATCACTGCATCATCACTAGTAGCTGGGCTCGCAGTGGGATTGTATGTGAGCGGATAGTTTCACAGTAAAGGCATCTCTCAGCTCTCACAGGTGTGCAGGCAGTGAAATGTAATATATGTGCATCCTGCCTTGAGAGCGATTGATCAGGGGACGGGTCGATTACATTAGCATGTCCCTAAGCACTAACTGGCAGTTACCAGACAAGCCAATAATTGTCAGAGATTGATTGGAAAGGGTGATTGATCAACAGCACTTGACTAAACAGGAGGAACCACCCCATCTTCCTTCTGCGACAGTGTTTTGATACTTACCTCGTAGATGGCTTCACACAGCTGAGGTGCCCGCATTTATAGGACAGCATGTAGCTCCCCTACAGGACCACCCTAAAGCCTCATGGGAGGCCTGGCATTGAAGTGTGTCTGGTTGTGTCTGTTGTTGCAGCTGTGAGGAACACCTGGTTAGTAATATGAAGATCTGAACAACATGCTGCTGAGGTTTCAGACTCCTCTGCAGTCTAATTTACACTTGTCAGTTCCCTTTTTCTATTCCTACCCGTGTTATTTTCAACCGTTTTCAGCACATACTTTACACCTTGGCCTATCTATCTTCAACTATATAGCTTTATGTAGTCTATATTAATATGTTCACTCTTAGTTGATGCAGCTACTGGTAAATCAGAGATGAAGACAACTAACTCTTATATTCCAGTGTGTACAATCTTTATCTTTACACAGCTACAGCTTGAACATACAAATTGCTATCTGACGACACCGGTTTGTCTGTCTGATGCTACCATCCACACACCTTGTTGGGGCAGCTCTCGCTCAGCAGGAACACGTCGGCCTTTATTGCTGGCCTCATGCTGCAGCTGAACCTGGCAGAGACACAAAGACAGGGCTTTCTGGCCTTAGGTTTTAGGAATGTCTGTCCTGTGACTAAAATTAAAGTTAATAGTTGAGCATCTGTGCAGGCTCAGCTTGTATAGAGGACTGTTAGCCAGCTTTTATTATTCACATCATTTTACATGCAAAGACTTGCTATGGCACTGAATGTTTGTGATGCTTTCTTCAGTTTATTGAATAGAAGCAAATGTCTGAATCTTGAGGTTATATGACTTTTAAAGACCTATTTGCTGAACTTCTAGTAAATGCATTATGATCACCCTGAATTTAAGGCTGTTTTTCTTCTCTAATATGCTGATATTATAAAAACGTTTTTTTTAAGATGTAGTGACAATGATGTGACCGTATTGTTTAGTGTATGTATACTGTACATTTTGGGAAAAACACTTTGTTTGGATTTGTTTGCGGAGAGTTAGACGTGAAGATTGACTCTCATGTCCATATGGTGAATATGAATTTGCAACCAGGATGTGATTAGCTTAGCTTAGCACAAAGACTGGAAACAGGGGGAAACAGCTAGCCGGACTCCAAAGGTAGTAATCAGTGTTAATTAGTGAGTTTAGAGGTGCTGGTAGGTGGATTTTGTTACCTTTGGACAGAGCCAGGCTAGCTGTTTCACCCTGTTATCATATAGACATTAGAGTCGTACCAATCTTCTTGTCTAACCAAATAAAAGCATATTTCTGTCACTGGACATCATTAGTACTTCTTAATCATTTCTGAGTCAAAATAATCAACCAGTCAGTAGGTTCTGGCTAAAAAGCTGCACAGTACTGCAACATATTATACAAAATACAAATGTCCAACAACCACTGCCACTGTAGTTACTGTATTTATACAACAATGAAGTGCACAGTCATACCTATGGAGGAATTACAGGAATCAGGTTCATAGCACTAGAAACATGGCGTGAAGATACAAAGATGTTGACATTTCACCCAGTCCTACAGCAGGTAGTGAGGGCCGTTATCACAGCAGATGTGCCTGAGCTCTAATTCCTAACATCAATCAGTCCCGCTCACTAAAATCTGACATCTGATTGGCTTTGATTCATTCTCCTGACTGGCTGGCTGCTCGCATGACAGAAACCGTCTTCTTCTTTAGTTAGCTGTGAAAAGCAGGTCAGTGGACCACCTCTCCCTCTTACTCTCTCACCACATTAACTTGTGATTCCCTCGTTTCGTGTCCTCACATTCTCACTCCCTGCCATCGTGTTTTATCTCCCTCCCTGTCTACATTTCTTTCATGCTCTGTTTTTCCCATCCTTGTTTTTTCTCTCTTCCCCTTCCCCTTTCTGTTGCTTCAATTTCCCTTGCTCCATTTTCTGTCCTTTCTTTCTTTCGTTCTTTCTTTCTTTATTTTCACATCCTTCCTTTCCTCCCTTTTACTTCTCTGGTGTTTCTTTGTTTTTCCTTTTCCTTCTTTGTTGGGTTCTTTTCTTTTCGTTTTCTTTTCGTTTTCTTATCCTTCTTCACCTTTCTCCTCTTCTTCTTTCCTTTCCTTTTGTCCTTTCAAGCTCTTTCTTTATCTTTCCGACTTTCCTTTTTATTTCTTTCATTTCCTTCCTTCCCCCTTTCTCCTCTGTATTGCAGATGTCCACAGTGGTCAGTGTCGTTCTGATGCTTCTTGCTGCAGTCTGTTTTAGCTTGATCAACAAATATCTTTCACGAGATCAAACACACACACACACACACACACACACACACAGTTTGCTGCCTACTTAATCATGTTACCTTAGTTGTTATCATCTTTACAATACATACTCTACACAAATTGTTTATAATTTAGGTGGTAGCAGCATACACACACACACACACACACACACACACACCTACACACACACATCCCCAGAGCTCATTGTTGCTACACTTAGAGCTCTGCAGAGGCTGACCCACATTCTCCACTGTAGTAAATTATGACAGCACTACTACTACAGCCGCTCGCACTCCTTTTGCTTATTATGCTTACACATCATGCACACATTACACACTTTGGAAGCACACTGTTGTGTAACACCATGCTTGCTGTCCCAACGAGCCCTAGACTTCTTCTAGTGGGGTGTGGTTCATTTCAGTGCACACACACACACACACACACACACACACGCAATAATACAAGAGCTGCACCTTAAATACAGTTCAGAGGGATGATGCAACTCATGCTGTAAGACTGAAAGGAATAATTCATCTCTCTAAGTCTTTAAGAGAGGTGGATAACAACACTACTGTAAATTAATCATATGGATTGGCTTACTTTTGAGTGGTATTTCAAAACTATTCAATTCTTTTTGAAAACTTTTATTCAGATATTTTTACTCCTTATTTTTAGAGTGTAGGAATTTCCTTTCCTCTCAGTTTCCCTGCAGGGACTGTTAAGAGTCTCCTCTAAGGTAATCTAATAACCCGACCCTGACCTTTGTCCTCCTTTGTACTACCTCCTGGATGGGACAGAAAGGAGAATCAATACAGTGTCATATTAAATGACTCAGTGCACATTTACAACATGTAGATCTCTGTTTCTGATGACCCCTTTTATCTGACTTTAGAGAATATTACATAGCAGTTCATTTTAAGAAGACACTAATTGTTTTAATGGTGATCCTGATAATGAGGATGATGAAGACAAAGATGTGGTGGCTAATGACAGCGAGCAGTGACTGATGGGATGGATTACAATTGCAATTAATGGAAGATGTTGTTTTGCATTTATGACAAAGATGCTAAGCTATAATGGCTCCTATTAAACATTAAAGGAATCCCTTTATGACCCACTTGTGTGCACATAATGCTGTCGGCACTTTGAGTTACATTCAGAGCACTCACACACTGTCTCTTCTTCACTGTGTCCAGGATGAGATGGAGGAGCTGAGGTCTGAGATGCTGGAGATGAGGGACATGTACATGGAGGAAGATGTCTACCAGCTGCAGGAACTACGGCAACAGCTGGACCAGGTACGAGTGTGGGCGGACAGACTGACTCACTCATTGAATCTGTGCTCTGATTTCCTGTGATATCTTGGTTTTGGAACTTTAAATGTGTAAAACAGACAAAGCCAGGTGCATCATGGACATTCAAAATGACTCTTTAAAATTCATTTTGAATGTTTTTTTCAGTAAAAAGCAACAAATGCCTTGCCTTACTGTTTCACTTGTTTTTGTACTGCATGTCTTATGTGTCACATTAATGGCTGCAAGGCACAATAACAGCCGAGTAACAAAGATGGCTTAGACAGATGACACATGGCATCATCTACTCACACTGCTTTCTGTTCCTCAGGCAAATAAGACCTGCCGCATCCTGCAGTACCGGCTGAGGAAGGCAGAGCGGCGCTCTCTCCGTGTGGCCCAAACAGGGCAGGTGGATGGAGAACTGATACGAACTCTGGAGCAAGATGTCAAAGTAAGTGTTCGTGTGTTTGAGTGAGACTGACTGTAATGGCTAAATGGAGCTCTGTGTGCAGTATGAAGAGGTTCTGAAGTTGAGTCATAGCTTGAGATTAGCTGAGTTCATGCTATAGATACAGTATATTATATGAATAATATTTATGGCAGTATAGAGAAAGTGAGATATCAGGAATAAGAGGCCATAGTGTGGCTGTAGGCTAATTTGTTGATGTTAAAGCACATGGTCTATACTCCAAAACGCTGAGTTCTTAGGTAACAACAAACAAAAAAACTATTAACCCATCAGCTAATTCAGATTCTGCCAAAAAAAGTCTTTAATTTAAGTCTCTAATCTTTATAGGGCCACTCTCAACACACCATTTTTATTCTTCAGTTTAGTTTATGTAGATGAATATCAGCTTGTGTAAAAGCTTTTTTTTTATTTAAGAGATTGTTCAAATTTTGCACAAAACTCACTTAAACTGAAAACCTAATTAAACATTTCACACCTTATTTTGTAAAGTCAGTTTCTTTTCATTGTGTATATCAAACTGGGAACGTTAACTTTTTTATCTTTCCCAACTGTGAGCTTAGTACAGTGTCACACTCGCAGTTAGCAATGTTTTGATGCTGACATACAGACTCCACCACCAACAACAGAGAAAAAAAAGCTATTACCCAAGATTGAAGGACCTTAAATATGCCACATGCTGTGTTTTTATGTATTTCGAGACAGTTCTTATGACCCATTTTCTTCACACTGTTGTTGTTGTCATGAGACTGTGGTGAGGTTAGGCTTCCTCTAGTATGTTTAAGGAATTTCCCTGTTTAGAATATATATAGGCTAATCGTCACACTGAACGCCACATTAGGACATTATAGGTTAACACACACAGACCAGTCATACCAATTTCACACACCAACACACACACAGATACAATAAATGTACATATAGACAACACTCTTTTACAATCTTCCTTCAATGTACGCAAACACACCAGTCATCCCAGTCACTTCAGGAATCCCTGATAAAGACCAGTTATACACAAACACACTGAGTGTGTTTTTTGTCACGCTGACCCTGGACTATGGATACACTTTGTCAAATTCACAGCGTTCCTCCAACATTTTCCATGTGATAGAGGATACAATGAGGCTTTTATACCCTGTAAGAGAGAGAGAGAGAGAGAGAGAGTGTGAGAGTGAGACTGTGATGTCACTCTCTAAGGGCTTTCCACCGGCTGTTGCTGTCTGTCTCTCAGCTCCTGTCTCACCATCTGGTTGTTTTTTGGAAGAGGAAAGGAAGGAAGGAAAAAAGATGAACGAACATCCTGTGTCTCTGAGCATTTGTGTGTGTGTGTGTTGAATCTGAAAGGAAAAAAAGGGGATTGGTCACTGTTTGAAAATTCAAATCAACCAATCGTTGTGGGAGGATGAGACGGGGAGGAAAACAGAAAAAAAAGACTTGCAGAGAGAAATGCAAAAAAGAGAGACAAACTAACAAATATCAAAGATCCAGAAACAAAAACGGAGGAGGGGAAGACAAGGTGTTCAAGTATTCAAGAAGGATTAGTTGATCTGAATGGAGGTCTGACTTGAATTTAAATCTTTAGCCAATGGTAGTGTTGGGATAAGGAGTGAGAGAGTGAGGTCAGACATTATGGAGAAGAAAGCCTGAGGGAAAACACCAGTGAAGTCTGCATCTGTTGGCTACATTAGTGACGGGGGATCATAAACACAGAATAACAAAAAAAGAGACACTGCAGCGAGACAAACCTGACCTCTCTCACAACACATGGCTGATTGTGTCCTCTTGCCGCCAGGGCCAAAGACTCAAACAGCAGGTCAAGTTACACCATGCTGTGTGTGTGTGTGTGTGTGTGTGTGTGTGTGCGCATGCATTAAGCCCATGCTAAGCTTCTCTTTTGCCAGCCTCCCACAGTCACTCCTCTGTTTATTCTGGTAGCTTTATCATTAGCTTTATAAAAGCAGACACTCGCTCCTGCCTCTGTGACTCAGCACTGATTCATCTCTACTGGAAAAAAACTTAAGCAGCAGTAAAAAAGGAATAACAACGAATGTCCATAGTATAAATACTAAAAGTAGCAGCTGTAAAAGCTGTGGGAAACTTTCTAGCTTTGCTATTAAATGATAAAAACGGACATCAAAATCTTCCATCTGTCTCCAACGTACTATTTGTTATGGTGCTAAATGCCAGAAGGCTCAACAGTGTGTTCCAGCGTCCCAGAACCATCTTTACCTGCACCCACACACTCGACACAACCCACCGGAGCGGGTTATATTCACTTTTGTTCCACAGCTACCATTATCAGCTAAAATGACTCATATATTATCCTATTATGCCAATTCTCTGTTAATCTAACATAAAAATTTGATCACAAAAAAATACCCTCCTGTTTACCACATTACGTTAAGCTAATCTGCATGCTAACAACACATTAACCGCATGCTTAACTGTTGCCTGAGCCACCAAATAAACCAAACATAAAAAAATATTAAGCTAACTACCTAGCTTCTGCTTTATTTACGAGTACAGGTTGAAAAGAGACAGCAATCAGCAGCTATCACATTGTCCACCCTAAGATAGTTATAGGACCAGTGTGTAAGATTCAGTGGCATCTAGTGGTAAGACTGCAGATTGCAACCAACTGAAACACCTTTAACTCACCAAGCTCAAGAGTGAAACTACAATGACAGCCAAAAACGTGTTATACCTCATCTTGAGCCAGTGCTTGTTTTGTCCATTCTGGGCTACTGTAGAAACATGCTGGTTCAATATGGCGGACTCCATGGAAGAAGATCTATAAAATGGCTCATTCTTCAGTAACAAAAACACAACAATTCTTAATTTCAGGTAATTATACACTTATGAAAACACATACCTATGAATATTATATTCCATTTCTGACAATGTATCCTCCTAAATGTTACACACAGGACCTTTAAGCCAGCGGTGTTACCCTCTGAGTAAGTGAAAATATTAGATTAGAAAAATGTGGTAGATTTTTTCTGACAAATACATGATGTTTCAGAGATTTTTTCTCACCGTTAGAAGGTTAAGTGCCACCTGTGCCCACTCCACGGCCCAACTTGACCATGACTTGTTGAGCTGCTCAGCACTGAGCTGCTTTACACAAAATTGGCTTAACTACTTTTGATGATTAGGCCCTGATTTGATGACTCACTCACATGTGTGAGACACACAGACTAAAACCCACACATGAACTCTCACACACCCTGTTTTCACTCACTCAAACTTTTCTGTATTTCTGTTTATCTTGCCTTTAGCACTCCTTGAGGGAGAATATGGGGGCTGGTGAGAGTGATAAAGACAGATGGAAGAAAGACACACGAGAAGTCAGGGAAATGGAAAAATAGGAAGATTGTGAAAATGTGTTAGTCACATGAATATTTTGTGTCAAAAACATCTCCTTGTGTACATCACATGCTCTTATTTGTGTTGTTTAAGATATTTTGTGTGCGTCGGCTTGAGTGTGACTGTGTGTGTGTGTGTGTGTGTGTGTGTGTGTTTTACAGGGATTCAGCAGTTGTATGACTGTCAGAATCTCCATGAGAATATCTGGCATCATTTCCTGTCCCACTCACACACTGCTCTCATTCCCACAGGCTACAGACATCTGGACACATGTACATACACACACACACACACACAGAGGAAATAGTTGATAGTTGATTCTCATGATGTCAACACAGCATATTTCCAGAGAGAATGAGCTGTTCTGCCTTGAAGGGCCAACTATAAAATATCTGACACTTAATCAATCAGGTCTCAAAAGTGAGAAAACACTGTTGTTCGTAATTTGAGTGAACAGATTGCTTAAAGGGGGAAAATATGCTTGTTTTGGTCTTAGATATTTGTCTACCAGGTGTTAGATGAGAAATACACACCAGTGTAGCTTAGCACAGACTGAAAGTAGTGTGGAACCTAGAGTCCTCGTTCTGGTTGCTGGTTGCCTAAATAAGGAGAGCGCTCGGACCAGAACAGCAGTGACTGTAAAGCAGTCAGCTTTATGGTGCTATGTATAATATTTGTGCTACATATGGCACCAGTGTGGAGTCTGTGCCATTTGTGATGTAAACAGTAAAGTACAGTACAGTAAATGTAATTATTAGCATTGTCAATTTCTTTTAACATTGTCTCCTCTTCAGTTTTACCCTCATTTATGTTGATATCCTCTTCCTTTTCCTTCTTACCTCTTTCATTCATTCAGTTTTTCACAGTACTACTTCCTATAGGATATGATCTATATATCATATATACTGTATACATATATGATCATGTCACCTCTGTACTATAGATACATCATATGTTGCTACTGCAGAGTGTGTGTGTGTGTGTGTGTGTGTGTGTGTGTGGTGTGTGTGTGCCTTCCTTCCACTTCCCTCACAGACATATACTTGTAGTATATATTGCAGTAGGTGTGAGGACCCTAAAAAACGACAATAACCCCATGAAGTGAGGAATCAGACAAAATGGTCTCACTTTCCAAAAAATATCCCCACTCTCACGGTCTTGAATGCTAAGTGGTCCTCACAAAGATAGAAGCACAAGAGCATAAACACACATTCATTAGATTAGAGCTTGGAAGCAGCAGTATCCGGTACATTTATCTAAACAGGGCCAGCTCCCAGCCTCATCTCCATATGTTATGTTGTGTGAGAGAGTGAGAGTGGAGAGAGAGAGAGAGAGAGGAGAGGAGAGAGAGAGAGAGAGAGAGAGAGAGAAGAGCTAAAATTGGATTCAGTTTAGTTGTTCTAATACTTCATGAGCTCAGTCAAGTGTTTCCCCTCTTTCGCTCTCTGTCACACACACACACATCCCAACCCCACACACTGGTACCATGTGTCATGCACACACTGTAGGAACATATTTGTAAGTATTTCTACTGCTACAGGTATTGATTATTTCTACTATTATAGTTTCCACTGGTCTTGCCAGCACTGTAGAACTAGTAAGCTAATGTTTATTAGACA